TCCACAGGTTTCCTGTCTAAACTCCTATGCTTGCTTTTAGTAGCCATGAAGCTGTCATCTGATTTGAGAAGCTTAGGAAGGACTACAGATCTGTATGCTTCAGTAGACCATATGTGAATTGTAAACAGCTGAGTTCTTGATTAGAGTTGATTCCTCAAATTATGGAATACTTTTCTGCTTACCCATTTCTTGAAATTAGTGAGAATAGTATAAAAGAAATAGTCCAGTCTCCTTTTGACTGAGGTCTGGACTCTTGCTTATATCATCTATGCTGAATAAAACATAGGAACTGAAGATTCTTTTTGAAGCAGAATTGAGTGCAATATTCTTGAATACTACTGCTCTGAAACTTCTGAGTCATGCAGTTATATAGGAACTGTATATACAGCCTTAAATCATGACTTGGAGAAGATTATTCTTCTCCAGTCATCTGCCATTTTTTATTTTCAGTTTTATGTGACGGAATAACAACTGGTAATCTTAGAATTGGAGGTGTTTTTCCTTCACACACTAATTTACTCTATGCGGAGTTCGATACAAAGCACATTTCTGTTAACTCCTTAATGCTGGTGCTAGTGTCTTTTCCCATTGCCGGCAATGGGAGATGGGCCAAGAAATTTAAATTCCTGGTATTTGGGGGGTTAAAATAGTGATGGTGAGGGTCAAACCCTGTTTTATAAACAACTTTAAAATGGCAGAACCATTGCTGATTTAAAGTCGATGCAAAGAAAGTGCTGCGTAGCAACTTCCAGAGCTGCCAGATTTGTGAAATAACTTTTCCTCTATTAGATACGAGTTTTGATTATCATGCACTCTTCCCTGTCCCCCCTCCTTTGTGTGAGTACATGATTTACTATAAAAAGAGTTTGGTTTTGATTTCTTTATTTAGACCAGAGAGAAATTTCTGGTTTATTGTATATCATTAGCACTCTCTTTACCCACCTGTTTTTGTGCTTGTGAAGATCTAATTAAACACAAATAGGGCTTTTCTTTGAATAGTTTGGTTGATTCTTCAAAAAAAAAAAAAAAAAAAAAAAAGATTAGCATCTGGGGGTTAAATAAATGACAGGAACATTTGATGCAATGGTGACTTGAGTATAGAGGACAGCCAGAGAATTCTTCCCAAGTAAGTGGCCGGGGAGATTTTGCTGGACTCTTCCAACGTGCTGACATGAACAAAACTTGCTTGGTTTCTGCAGCCTTTTTTGCAGGAGTTTTGAGTTCTTGCCCTGGATGGACAAGTGTTTTGTTGCATCTAATGCAGATCTTCTGCGATACTTCATTTTATGATTGAAACTTGGTTTGTAATCTGAACAGAGTTTGTTTGATCTGTTGTAAAATCAGCTAACAAAGTTGCTGTCTTGGAGTCTTTGTTACAAGGTACCATAAAAGACCCTCAGTATGTTCTAGTGCTTTGCCAGCTCTGCAGTTAAATTTGTTAATTTTAGGGGAGGGGAGCAAAAAGATGTGTTCACACTATAGAAGAAATGAAAATAAGAGACTTTGAGACAAACACGTGAAGGCAAATGTACTCTGGGCAACTCTCACTGATATTCCTACGTGTCATGAATAAGAGAAATACCTTCTACCAAACCTGGGAATGTTCAATGGAGTTTTACAATAACTCAAAGACTTAAATGTGGAAGTTTTAGGCAACATTTAAAGGCACATTTTTTTCATTCTGGACAAACCTATGGATAACAGAAGACTAGTCCATAAGAAGAAATTGGAGATAAGCATTGAAATAAAACTTGGACCACTTTGCATACATGTTTCTCACTTGACATTTTAGCTGCATAACAATGTGCTTTGAGTATAACATCAAGCTTTAACAAATATTTAAAGACAGAACATACATCAGTAAGATAATAAAAGGCTCATTTTTATATTTGTTTTAGATGTTTTAACTAGTTGAAATGGCTTAAGATGACGAATAAAAATGTTGCTTGTAATACAATTTTGCCTGCTAAATTCTCCACATTTTGTAACCTGTTTATTCCTTTGGATGTAAAGCGTTTTTGCTTAGTATTGTGATATTGTATATGTTTTGTCCCAGTTGTATAGTAATGTTTCAGTCCATCAACCAGCTTTGGCTGCTGAAATCATACAGCTGTGAAGACTTGCCTTTGTTTCTATTAGATGGCTTTTCAGTTCTGTATTAAATATCTTAAGTACTATAGAAAAGGTGTCACCTCTTCCTATAAGGCTGTTTTGTAATATATATAAGGACTGGAAATGTGTTTTTAAAGAAAAAAAAAAAAGCATTCAAGTATGATGATATACTATCTGTGTTTTCACCATTCAAAGTGCTGTTTAGTAGTTGAAACTTAAACTATTTAATATCTCATTTAATAAAGTGACCAAAATACATCAGCGTGCCTTGTGCTACATTTGCAATGCAGTCTTGGCTCCATGTGAGTTGCTAAGTTAAGGCTGGTGGTTAAGCTCTAATTTTGTCCACAGTAAAATTCAGGTTTCTGGATTCAGTCCTTAGTTTAACTTAGTGAACATAGTTGTGGGACAGATTTTTAAACTTTATAAATTATCATCTTCTGCAGCCAACCCATATGTCAGAAATGATGAACAAAGAGGTCTGATCTATCATACAAGGATAAATTATCAAGTGAGGTGAAGTTGGTCTACTTGGCCAAACTTGACTAATCCACTCCATATTTTAAATTTTGTGTGTTTGTGCGTTGGTACTTTTTCCTTTCTTCATGGACAAAAAAAAAATCAGCCAAAAAGTGTGTAGGTTGGCATTCAGTGTTACCCTGTGCTTGTCCCTGGTATTTTCCCTTTCTGGCAGGTGTGGGACAGCGCTGTGGCCAAGGCTCCACAGGAGCTGGGCCTGCTCTGTGTGGTTCAGCTGGTCCCAAAATGAGTTGCCCCGGTGCCTGTGCTGTAGAGATCTTGTGTAGTGTGGAAGCAGTTGGAGCTCTTAAATGCCTGAATCAACTTAATTGTATTGGAAGGAAGAGGGGGAGCCTCTTTACATAGCGCTGTTTGCTGCTGGAAGAGCGGGATGCCCCTGGGCTCGGGGGACATCGTGGTACATCTTGGTGACAGGCAGTTGGCGCAGAATGAAGACAAGGTTGGGGTGCAGGGTTGGCTTTTTTCCTTTTCTTTAGAAGGGGGGTAGTTTGGTCCTTAGAAGCAGAACTCCTCTGTATGGGGTAAAGAAATTTATCAGTTCAGGCAAGAACGTGTTTTGGAATTGGATAAGTTTTCCATGCTTGTGGAAGACATTCCCTGGGTGGGGGGGGTCAGAGCAGTGCTGGTGCTGCAGCAGGGGCTGGGTAGGCTGAGGGCTGGGAGCGCTGCTGGAAACAACCCTGGCGTCGCCACTACGTGTGAGACAAGCCCTGAGACCCTCGAGCGCCTCCCAGCAAGGCCTCAGTCTCCTCCCTGAGGATGAGACGTTTCCTGGTGTGGAGCTGGCTGGTCGACTCCCAGCGCTGAGGGACACCAACGTCCTCAGCGCCCTCGGCCTCTCCTGCACCCTCAGTACCTCCCGCTGCTTCTCCCCACACCTGCCGCTCCGTAAAGCGTCCAGGATGGAGCCAGGGGCTGGATGGTGCCCTGCAGACGGACACTTGGAGCCGCAAGCTGGAGGATGACAATTTGGGCCATGCTGGGTGGCTGTGCGGCGCATCCTGTAAGGCTCCGGCAGTACGTCTCTGCGCTCCATCCCACACACCAGGCCTGTATTTGCCTCAGCGGTGGTTCCTGGCAGCCTCAGCGGTGGTTCCTGGCAGCCTCTGGGGCTCATCACCCTGTGCTGAGGGTGAGGAGACGCATTGGGGGACATCCCCCCTGTCCTGTCACAGCTGTAGACTCTGGCTGCCCAGTGCTGCGGAAGGCCCGTGGATGGATGGACATCACCCCTCTCCAGAAGCTGCCCCTGGAGTCAGGTCCTTTGCCCGGTGCCACCCAGGAGATGCAGGTGTCTCACAGCAAATATCTTCCTTTCTAGCAGATCCATGCACAGCTTTTCCTTGGAGCAGGGCTGCCAATGCAGCAGTGATCACACAAAATGGTGACGGTCACCTCCACCCCAGGGCTGGTCCAGGTGCCTCAGCCAGTGATGTCCCTGTATGGAGCCTCTCATTCGCAACTCGACTGACACAGTCTCCTGCCGCAGACCCGGAGCTGCTCTTCCTCGCAGGGGCTGGTCTCAACAGGACTTTCAGCAGCTCCATCCAGGACTTCACCCTTTGCAAGGACCATGTTCAGAGGGCCGAGGCAGAGGGAGCTTCGTGCCCATCCCTGGGAGCGCAGGGACCCTGCAGCAGCGGCTCCATGACAAGGAGACACCAGGACTAGGCCAAGATGGCCCTTGTGCTGCAGCCACCCAACTAACCATGGCCCGTTGTGGCAGCGGGACCAGCAGTTTGTGGAAAAGCACAGACTTTGGATATGTCTCATGAAAGAGGAGGCTACTGACCTGGCCAACGAGGATTTGGAGAAAAAAAGTAAGTAATTTTTTTTTTTAATTATTCCTAATGTGGGTTAGTGATGTAGAAAAGCTTCCCTCTTCACCCCTCAGAACAAGCCTGTATTTCTATGTATTTTGTGGATGCTGTTTGAAACCTTTTGTAGGGCTCTTAACCATCCTGTGAGCAGGGAAGCTGTGTCAATGGCTGGAGGACACCAAAAAAACCAGGGCTAGCAAGAGATCTACAATATAAAGACAATTTTATTGCCAAATAAGCTCTTAAAACTCTTCTCTCTCCTATTTCAGTAGGACCTTATTCTCCCCGGTGAAAATCCGCTCATAGCATCTCTCATTAAAAATAAAATTATTTTGAAATAAATAAATATATAAAATAAATACCATATACATTTTATAAATAGCTTTGTCCTTATGCACAGTATCCACGCTTCCAGGCATCCTCAGACCATTTCCACCCCGGCAGCGGGAAGGGACAAGGCACAACCTGCATGTCCCGGGCACCCGTCCACAGCACAGGGCCAGTGCTGGGGCCATCTCCTTAGGGACCAGGAGGGCTTCTCCGTCTCAGGTGGCCATCAGGGTGATCCATCCATAGGGATCCAGCCATGGGGATCCTCGCGCCACCCCGTGTGGCCATCTGGGCATCACCTGTAGTGGAAGAGGTCTCTGTAGGCAGCGGGCGTTTTTGCAGGGTCCACAGGCCTGGGCAAGAAGTGGGTGAACTTCTGGTGCCGCTTAGTCCGGTAGCCCTCGCGGGGCGAGCCGTCCTTGTTGAGGGCCACGTAGTAGTGGCGCTCCGAGTCGGCGTGCTTGTAGAGCGTCGAGGCGTACGTGTTGTACCAGTTCTCCTCAAACTGCTCCCGGAAGACGCACTCCCGCGTGAGCTTCTTCTGCGGCCAGCACCGGCAGGGGCAAAACATGCAGGCATCAGAGGAAGGACGCACCGAGAACGGCCTCCCTGGCACAAGGTCCCCCTTGTTTCACCCACCAGGCTTGCAAAAAGCCTCGCCAAGCACCCGCCCGCCCCTGTGCAGGGCCCACGGAGGCTTCTTTTGCTGTTAGTAATAACTACTTAGAATGCCACCTATTCTGAGGTCTTTGGAAACTACTGAGCTGGCTGCTTTGCTGCAGCCTCCTGCTTCTCCCATGACTGCAATGAGGATAGGGGGGGATGCATGAAGTGTTTTGGGAGTCCCTGCAGCCCCTCATGTCCCCAGTTTACCCTAATGGCTGGTCTAGGAGCTGCCAGATGTAGCCAGCACCCAGATTGTGCAGAACTGGCACGGGTCAAAATAACTGTCTTGCAGCTAGACAGCTATTTAGGCTCAGCTAGAGCCTCTGAGGCTAATAGGAAACGTGAGAACGCTTTAGGCTCAAACCCTACTATCCCAGTGCAGTTTAAGATCTGTATTTTTGTTTTATGGAATCCTGGTGATCTTATTTTTCAGTCATAGTGCTTATCTGTAATGCAGGCATTCTCCCCACACACATATGTATATAGCAGATCTACCCAACGTTGCAGTCGCCGCAGAAGCTGGGACTTACCGACCCGTAGAGCTCGCCTCGCTCGTTCATGCCCAGGTAGAGCCCCGAGTCAACCCCACGGATGCTCACGAGCCCCACAGCCAGGCTGATGAACTCCAGGATCCCTGAAAGGCAAAAGGGATGCGGTCACAGGGAGACAACGTGGGCAGTGCTCACTTGGGTGACTTCCCCATGAGGAATCAGCTTTCCTGAGGGGAAAAGTTAATTATCACCAAAAAGAACAGCTGTAGAAATCTGTGCCTGGTTCCCTCCTAAGTGTTTTAGTTTTTCCCAGCTCACTCCAGGTTTTGGGGCTTTCTTTTGCCTGCCACATCTCTGCCTTAGGTGCTAATGCAGCTCAGCCAGGAGCCCACAGATGGGCACAAAATCCAGAGGCTTGGAGCGAGTGGGGGCTACGGACAGTGCTGCCGAAGTTCCCCCAGCTGGAGAAGCCCAGCGGTGCCCTCAGGACAGCCCGTGCTCCCCGACACAGTGGCCTGTATTGGAGCTGCAAAGCCCAAAGGACATGGAAGCTTCTCTAACAGCCTGTGCTTTCATCAGGAGGCTCCTCCAGTGGAATCCTGAAGCCTAGACTTCTCCGGAGCCTTAAGTCTTGCCTTGCTTTTCACCTGCGTGCACTTTAGTTTCTCTCCATCTGAAGGGTAGAAACGATGGTAGACTCAACTTCTGGGTAATGCCTGACCAGGGGGGAGCAGAGCTGGACCATAGCTAGGGAGAGGGGAAGAACTGCAGGGACAAGGAGCAGCGGTACCCACAACTGGACATTCTCGGGCAGAAGACACAGGGGAAGTCTGTGGTGACTTTGGCGAACAGCAGATCCATCTCCCTAAAGGTACAAATACAGTCCTCAGCAGCAGTGCTTAAAAGCAGATGCTCCTTTTCCCCCTTGGGAAGCACGAGATACTGGAAGCTGCTCCTGGTGGCTGCAGGGCATCTGGGGACAGCCCAGCCCGGCGTCTTCTGCTCCTCGCTGGGTTCTGCAAACAGCCCTTTGCCAAGGAGGGTCATGGCCAGCCCCTCCAATGACGTCCCCGGGGACGCTCTCCTTGCCTGGTCTGAGCAGCCCTTCGGACACGCACAGCCTGCAGGATTGTGTTGAAACAGGGTCAAGAGGCACCCGAACCCCTGAACCCCCAGAACCAGGGGACAGGGCCAAGGCTGATGATCCTGCCCTTACATCTCTGCAGCTGCTGGAGACCTGCACTTCATACATCTGCTCCTCTGACCCACAGAGTGGCTGCTGGGGCCAGCAGGCAGATTTTCTACCCCATTGCAGCCGTGTTTTGGGGGTAGAACACCTTTATTTAATCGCTTTCCCTTCTAGGACTTGCCTCTTTTTGATTATCCATTCTGTTGGCTTTTTTGAGCCTTTCTAGACAGTATTTGGAAAGATTTGATTAAGACTCTCGGAGCAGCACACGGTGCCCCAGGGGCAATGCAGCCGGGTGCACCTGTCTCCCAACCGCAGGCGCGAGACGGGGTCCAGAAGCAACGTCAGGTGTCGTATTAATGTCTGCAAACCCAAAGCTTCGGCTAAAAACCTCAGCAACTGTTCAGTAACAGGTGCAGTGGAGCCCGAACGTCAAAGTCTGCAGGAAACCTTTCTCTGGAGGTTTCATTAGCTGCTCTGGGAGGCTCGGTTACACATCTGTTAGCAGATTTGTACCACAGAAGAGCTTTACTTGCTCCCTTTAATAGTCCCCAGGTCTTTTTTCCCCCACCTCTTCACTCACATTTAAGAGCAGCACTGCTGGGATCATTTGTTTCACGCTGGTGTAAGACAGACACATGGCAGAAAAGAAGCAATTCCTCCCATCGAGGATTCTCCGGTGACTTTATCTCTCAGGAGGATCCTTCTGGCCAGGGTGCTAATGCCAGTCCGACCCTCCTTGTATTTCTCCCATACACCAAACCGAGCAGGAATCAACACGCTTTGGAAAAGCTTTTTCCCCTCATGGTTGCTTAGCTAGAGCTGCTGGTGCAAGAATGAGCTGCCTTCCCGGGTCCTGGAGGGCTTCGCCAAAGCTTGAGCTGAGTCCTCCCTAGGAGAAATAAGACGCAGTCTGTCCTTCTTGTGCAAATCTGTTTTTCTCCGTATTGAGTGTCACATTCCAGAAGGCAGGTGCAGTTTGGGAAGGCTCCAGTGCCGACGTTGCCATGACCACGCAGACCTTCAGGCGCAGCGCTGCCGCTGCCTCCTCTTCGCCCACGGGCAGACCCCTCCAGAGGTCCCTCGCAGAAGCCTCAGGCCGCGCTCTCGGGACCTGGTCGCTCTGCATCACCCCAGCTCCAGCTCCTTACTTTCCTCCCTGGAAGGCTGAGATGTCCCGTGCATCTTGCAGCTCCTGGGACGYCCGTGCGCGGCGTGGTGTTTGAACAGGGGCCCTGAGGAACCTCCTCTCCATGTCTCTCACTGTGACTTCCCGCCTCCTTCAAGCGGCACAGCCKGCTCATTCCTGGAGCAAGGCACCGCAGCACGCAAAGGCTGGGAATGCCTCGGTACGCGACACCCTAACACAAACCATACCCGCAGCATTGCTCCCCGAGTGCTCCTGGCTACTGGACGCAGATGGGGAGCGCTCGGTGCCAGCGTTTGCTGCTCCGTCGCGCCGAGCCGCGCTCCAACTCCATCYGCACGTGAGGATTCCAGCCCGAGGCCCCGGGCTTTGTCCCGCAATTACAACAAATAACTATTTATTTTACGCTACCTCTGGGAAAACCCTGAGGCAGAAAACTATAATATTTTATATCTGAAGTCTGGTCTAGTTTACGTAGCTGGATGCTGACTGCTAAAACACTTAGGGAATGCTAATGTTTCCATTTATTGAATGCGCCGTGAGACTTAACGCTTAACCAGGCAAAATTCATGAAAAGCCTTAGTCTGTCTAGTGCRTGTTTCCAAAGATTTAGTCCGTTTAATGCATATTTCCAAAGTTTGCTTGGAAATACATCCATTTTACTTCATCTTTAAAAAGAAAGGGAGAAACACAACTGAGATAAGTRCTGCCATTTGAAAACCCTTGTTTGCACCAAGATACAGGGATTAGAGCTGACAGAAACACTACGTGGCAGATCCAACTGAAGAAAACACGGATGCAGCGGCTTGGATTTCAGTTTCCCACACTGGAGGAACCCACCGTGCTGCGCAGCCCCAAAGGGAGGAGACCTGGGTCTTTCGGGAGGTTCCCCGGGGCTCGCGCTGCCTGCAGGGCTGGGGTTTCTGGTTGCTTTTGGCAGGGACGTGTTGCACATGCACACACACACACGGTGCTTGCAGAAAGCACGCGACACAGACAGGGATTTTCCCCCCAATGTCTCATGGGCAGCGCAGTCCCGGTGCGCCGGCGAGAGCCGCCTGCAGGCGGCCGGGGGCGGCGGGGCTGCCGGGCGGGCCGGGCTCCCTCCCGGCCGCGGGGCGCGTCGCTCGCGGCACCTGCCCCGCGATCCCGGCCCCGTTCGGCCGCGTCCCCGCGCCCGCTCCGTCCCGGCGGGGTGAAGCCGCGGGGGGAATCCCGCCTCTCGCGCCGGCTCCGCTGCCCCGCGCGGGCTCCCGCAGCCCCCGGCGCGGCCGCGCAAGGCGCGCGGGAGCCCCGCAAGAAAGTCACGAATTTATTTATTATTTTTCCCTCCTGGCGCCCTCCTTTTCTCTGCAAAGAGTCGATCCGCGCTGCGTCCCGCTGCACCTGCCGGCGGCCGGGGAGGAAAGTGCAGGGAGAAGAGGAAAAAAATATAAAAAGAAGAAGAGCGGTAGAAGAGACAAGAAGGCGAGCGCAGCGGCGCTTACCGAAGCGGCTGTGGTCGTGTCGGGTGCCGTGCACGGTGCCGTTGGGGAAGATCTCGAGGTGGAAGCCGGTGCGGCAGTACAGCTGCCGGCGGCGCAGGATGCCCTTGAGGTGCGCGAAGTCGGTGGGCGAGCCGCGCTGCAGGCGGCCCTCGATCTGCCCCAGGCGCTCGGCCAGGAAGCCGGGCGAGTCGGCGGGCAGCGGCAGGGCGGGCAGCGGCGGCGCCGCGCCGTGCGCCTCGGCCTCGAGCGCCGCCAGCAAGCCGCCCGCCTCGGCCATGGGCCCTCAGAGGCGGCGCGGCCGCCGCCAGGCGCGCATGGCTGCATGCGGCCCGCCCGCCCGCGCCCGCTATATACGCGCGCGCCGGCCCCGCGCCGCCGCCGAGCGGGCATTTAAATGCAGGCCACACCTCGCTGGCATCCCCGCCGCCGTCTGACGGAGAGGTGGCGGTTTTCCCCCTCCCCTCCTCACACATACATATATATATTGAAAAGCTTCATTCCCTCTTCATTATAAAAGATAATAAAAAGCTGCGCGTCGCGGCGAGGCGCCCGTGCAGCCGCGCGGGGCCAGGAACCTGTTTCCTCCCCCCCCCCCCCCCCCCACACACACACACATATAGAGCCCCTCATGTCCCCTGGCAACAGCGCAGTGCCGAGGACGGGCGCTTAAAGAGCATTTGATTATTTATTCATTTATTTTGTATATGTATATATAGATCCAGGCGCCGCGGGTTTCGCCGCGCGGTTCCCGGCCGCGTGAGGAGGGGGACGCGGGGGCCGCCCCGCACCTTTCCCCGCTGCGGGCAGGTGCTTCCGCGCCCCGTCTGAGGAACAGCGGCTGCCGCGCGGGGACGGCGGGACGGAGGCTGGCATGGGGGAACGGGGGGAGAGGAGGCGGCTGGGGCGAAATACTAAGGAGAAAAAGCGGAATATCGGTGAAAGGGGCGCGCGGCCCGGCCCGGCAGGCGGCGCTGCCGCTCGCGCCGCGCGGCCCGCGGCGCCTCCCCTGCCCCCCCATGGCGGGTCTCCCTCCCCACACGGAGCTGTCGCCTCAGCGAGGGCTCCCTCGTGCCCTTCCTCCCTCATAGAGGGCCTTGAGCTGGTCCCTCCTCGTGGTGTCCTTCCCCAGCGCAGCTCCCCTGGGCAGGTCTCCCTCATGGTGTCCCTCCCCAGGGGACACCTACCTGCAGCCACTCTGTCCCCCCAGGAGCTCTGGCCTAGGAGCGGGGCAAGAAGGCCCTGGCAAAGCCGCTGCTGGCTGAGGGGTCATGGACAAGAGGCTGCAGGCTGGTCTGGTGCTCCAGGGCAGGGGATGGTGATGACGGTGGTGGTCATGACGGTCATCATGGTGGCCCTTGTCACCACCCCAGCTGTGAGTGAAGAGTACTCATCAAGGAGCCAAGGACTGGGGTTTTAATACACACACTGCTTCCTCCAGGCCATAAAATCGGCACAAGTGTTTCAGGTGGCTGTTGAGGGCATCAGGTGCTGCTAGTTGAGTTCAATCTGCTAATGAGGTCTTTAGTTCTCTCGTAGCTACAAGAAAGGGTGGGGGTGGTTGGTGTAGCTGTGCTATGCTTAAGATTAGAGGTGTRCAGTGTTTTCTAGTATTTCACCTTCCCCAAAGAACTGTTGTCTTCAYCACAGGATGAACCTGGATCTGAGGTGCCTTCTGCTTGTGCCCTTATCATGCTCTGGTTCTGTTATCATCTTCTCAAATCCACATCCAAGTAAGTGCTTGGAGCMACTCTGAGGAAGAGCAGCAAGAGGTAATGAGGTTTAGATGCATTATGGCAAAATCTGAGATAATGCAAAAAGCATATCCCCCTATGCTTAACTAATATATAACAAAAGCAGAGAAATTCCTTGTCCATGCTGACATTCCTCATGATAACAGCCAGTGTTTGAAGTGTGCCTGCTGCCATGCATTGTGCTCAGGAGTGGGGCTCATCCTCACGCATTGTCTTGCTGAGGCAGGATGCAGAATAGGTAGCTTCCTCTTGTCTTTATTTTTTACTTCTGGCTTTTTAATTTCCTAGGTTAGTTATGTTTTTACTAATTTGAGGAAACAAAAATGTAGAGAATTGTTTCCTTTAATGTTTGAAAGGAAAAGAATAAAAGTATGCATTTTAAATACCATTAAAGCTAGACTAAGTCCTTCAAAAGAAGAAACCYGTTTAGCTACTTTTCTGTGTGTTAAAGAGAATACAATTCCATAATCACTAATTTCTTTAAAAGAGTAAATGTGCACAATTTGTGTCATTCCCATATAYTCTAGGAGTTTGTATGTGTTTAGCAAGAGAGTAAAAATCTAATGGCATTTATTTGCTATGCAATTATTATTTATAGAGCCATGTTTCATATCTTGCCTACTAGCTATAAAGTCAAAGGAAGAGCAAAACTGGAGTCAAATCAGTAAATTAATTAGAAAAGAGTAAGATGGACAAATGCAATGAGCACATCTAGATACTGCACATCCTCTGCCCAAGGCAATTCCATTTGATAAAGAAAAGATCAAGGTGGATCTTTCTGCCAGAAAGATTTCTCCTGGAAGGGGACATGGACAGAGGCAGCAGGATTCGAGTCCAAATACAGAGGTACATATGCATTTTGTATTAAGTTAATAGGTGGTGGCAGAATGAAAGTTAGACTCTGAGGATCAAGCTGCCCACTTGCCTCTCTGAATCTTTGCATCAGATACATAAATAGGTTATATGATTTTCAGAAACCCACCTGCCCCAGGTACTATATGTTTCAACGTGAAACACAGACCTGCAGGCTTTGTTAATACCAATATGGATTAATAACTAGGAGGAGGAATCCTTCAGACTCATGACACCATAGCAGGAGACATTTCTCATATCTGAGACATCTCTGTAGTCCTTAAGGGAACAAACTATGTACGAGCTTGTACAAATGCTTGTCAGTTTTGTTGACTGTCAGGTACTCAATCCTGCTTCAGTTCTCTCCCATTTCTTCCTAGCTGTAAGGCTGGAAGAGGGAGAGAAGCAAGAAGAATATCCTGATTAAAAATCTCTTCTGTGCTTTTTTCTTTTCTTTTTTAAACCGTGCTTTGGAAAACAATTAAGAAGAGAGTGGTAAGTAACCTGTTAGAGCAGACTTCTCACCTGATTCCTGGGCTCAGAGCTGCTAAGGGGCAGTTAGCAGTTAGTCAATTCCTTCTGTGTTTTCACTGCTGAAGAGGAGGAGGAGGCCATTAGATTTGTGAGTTTGCACTTGGGATGCTAGAGCCTGCAAGGCGCAAAATCTTTAAGGTCTTTTTCACTCCCTTGCTTTCAAGGCTAACCGTGATTCCAAGTTTCATCTTAGACCTAAAGCAAGACTGAAAGTTTTAATCTGTGCTCTAAAGCACCTGTTCTGTGTATGATATTCAATAAACTTATTTTACAGTTAGTTCAGTTTTGCTGCAGCTTTTTAATCTAAGAAGCCCTCACTCACCTGGATGTGAGTCTGTGTGTAGCTCACAGCTAGAAAGAGTGAGTTCTTTTTAACTGGCTTTGTCTCTAGTGCTGTATTGCAGTTAGGTAATAAAAAGGATGCTAAAATCATAACTCATCTGTTGAAAGGAAAGACTCAGACCATACCCTGGGGAAACGCAAAACTCAATTCTAGTCCTGCTCAAAGGAAAAATGTCGTCCTTTATTATGTTATTCTTATAAGCATGTGTCTTTTAATTATTTCAGTCTTTTATGGAATTATCCCATATATGCTTATGTCTGTGTCAGTTAGTATGGGTCATAATATAAAAATGAATCAGAGCAAAGGCCTGTCTAGCTCCATATCCTGCTTCTGATAATGGCTAATAACTTGTGTATGGAAAGGGTATAGCAAACAGGACAAGTATAGAGTGATACTTCCTTTGATAAACCCTCCYGGCTTTCAGTGGTTTTTGGTTTGGGGGCCTTCCTGAGCTGGAGGCTGCAGCTGTATCATTGTTTTTGATACTTCTTGACGGACCTTTCTTTCACATAAAATCATCTAATCATTTTTTGAAACCCACTTGTGTTCTTGGCTGCCACAACATCCCGTGGCAATGAGTTCGACAACACCGTTAGGTATTGTGTGAAAATGAATTTCCTCTTGTTTGCTTTTAAATCTGCTTGCTGCCTGCCAGTTGGAGCTGGTGCCCTGTTTTTCGTGTTAAGGCTACTACTGAATAATCATTACTGTTTACTTTTCCGTGCTGTAACAGCTCGTCTAGGTCTTCATTGTTATTCTTCTTGTTTGCCAGGTTGAAAAGCTCTGATTTGCTTATGTTTTCCCAGTGCTTATTTGTCCAAAGTCTGTCACACAGCTTGGTACTGCCCTTGTTCTTGCCCTTGCTGTAGCTTTCTCTTTCCCCATTTGTTGGAACTGTGCTCAGTAGTGAAGAGACAGACACGTGGTGAATTTACACTGAGAGATAACAGCATGGAATATGGAATTCTGTAGAATATGGAATAGCAGTGATCACATCCCAAACCCTGTTTAGAGTTCATCAGAGTGCTCCTTACTCACTTATGTTGAACAGCTATTTCTCTTGGTTATTAACTTTTCAGGGATTATTATGTCAGCTTTTTTTCTTACATTCTTCTTACAGCAAAGCTCACTTATGAGCCAGGTTTCCTACAATAGGTAATAGCTTGGCAGTTTCCCATGAGATACCTGTGGGAATTATCAGTTAACCCACATGCCAGTTTGTTGTTTTCTTCTGTGCTGCTGCTTCGGATTTGTTCTCCCTACAAAAGGCTCTAGTTTTCTATATTAACCATAGATACAAAGATTTGCTGAGGGTTCCTGCTATCACCTGGTCACATGAGAGCATTCTAGTTAAATACTTCAGTCAATTCTTGGTCCTGTGAACTGCTGAGGTTGAGACACAGATTTACACATTGGAACAGAGAGTTCTCCATTTTTCTGTGGTCAGGTGGCTTTGGGATTTTCTGGCCCAATAGGTGAACTCTTCTGTCTGTCACTTTGAGGATAAAGATACTTGTTCTCTTCCCAGAGAACTAGAACCAAAATGTGTTGGTGTGTGGGTAGAGCTAGAAAGTCTAAGCTGGAAGTTATTCTGGAAATGGATGGATGGATAGTATTATTATTGGATAATGTAAGATAAAGAACAGAGGAATAAAAAAAAAAAGAGAAGAAAAAAAGGCTATTCCTGATTATGCTTAAAAAATCACAGTTGTGGCACTTCTGATTATACCGAAGCTTTTGGGCTTACCTCTGCCTATGAATAATATTACTCAAGTTCAGTTGTATAGTACTGGGCTA